ATGCCAGTAAATATTAATTTCACTGTTTAAAAAAAAAATATCAGGATGTCTACTTAAACACATGCACCCATTAAATATAATAATTTCATTAACAAAGGACAAAACAAATCACAAAAAGTTTTTCCCCACTTCACTTTGTCATATATATATATATATATATATATATATATGGGATAACGATATATACATTTTATATATCAAGTTTTGGAGAAAAGATGTGTGGAAAAGTTTTCATGTGATGTGTTTTGTTTCTTAGACCAATGAAGTCCTAAGGGATGAAATGCATCGCACAAAAGCTTTTTCCACTTTTCGTGTGTGTGTGTGTGTATATATATATATATAGCCCAATGTCGGTGTACTTTCGACTATCATCTGCCATTATCAAAGACTTTTCACTCATATTTCATTAAGAAAAAACAAAACATGAGATGAACAATCACATTAACACACTGGAACGCAGTATCTGAAAGTAAAGAAACTGACAACATAAAAAAAGTCTTTGATCATGACTAACAATAGTTGAAAGTACTCAGACATTGGACAATTTATATCTAAATATAAATTGGAAACTAAGAAAAGGATCCAAAATAGAGAAAAAAAGGAATGTGTGTGTATGTACACAAGTAAAATCTTAAAAATTTGTTTTAAATATATGTATGTTTGGAAGCTACCTCATTTCTCTTAGTGTATGGGGAACTAATTTTTGAGAATATGTAATTATTAAATTGAAAATCTAAAAGAATTAAATTTTGTCAGCAATAGGAATTTTGTTAGTGAAAGTTTATAAGTTAAAAGAAATTTTATTATTAAAAAAAACGTAAATTTTCCTCCATACATTTCAAGATGATAAAATCAGTGCTAAAATTTTCCTAACATTAAAGTGTCAACACATAAACAAATGTAAAATTAAATGAAAAGAAATCGTCCAGTATTATTCGTTTATTTATTGAAAAACAAATAAAACTCTTAAGAAGCTGATTGGTTATAATCACTAACTTAATAGGAAGAAATTATTTAGTTCAATGGTGAGGTCACAAATAAAAAAGAATTAACACTACACTTAAAAAAAATAATAATCCTATAATAGTCACCCTTCACCTTAAAACTTGATGGCTGGATTACTGGTACTAGTCTAACCCCCCCTAAACACTTATCTCCTGATGACCACAGAATTATATACATTTATTATTTCAAATGTTATTATAGTGAATATTTGTATTTGAAATAGACAGGCCATTTTTATTTTAAGCAGTGTATTACATCTGTCAATAGGCAAGCCTGTGGCATATTGAGAAATCTCAATGTGCTCCAAAAATGATGTGTCTATTTCAAATAAAAGTACCTACTATAATAACATTTGAAGTAATAATAACCTTAAATTAAAAAAAGATCCATTAATTATATATTTATTTCTAAAGTGGTTTATGTGTACTTTTTGATATCACTTTTTCAGTGATGCAGTTTAGTAAAAAGCGTCTCCAGTTTCTATACACAAGGCCAGTGATAAAATGTTTCTTAAATATAGATCTGTTTGACAGATTTTACTAAATGTCAGACCCTTCACACAGAAACAAGTAACACTTTTTAATAAAATGTATCAACTAAAAATAGTGATCCCGAAAAGTACACACAAAATACTTAGAAAACATATCTTATGAAATGAGGTAAAAGAAACTGAATGCTTAATGTGAATGGAGGGAGCTTTAAGATGACAATGATATATCACTTTAGTGCAAAGTATGCCAAGCACTATATATATATATATATATATATATATATATATATATATATATATATATATATGTGTGTGTGTGTGCATGTGTATATAAGTATATATTAATAATTACACATATACCTACATTTGTGTAATTATTAATATATACTTTATAGCTTTAACTACATTGAGCACTGTTTTGTCTACACCATTGAGTAGATACATAGTTATTTGCTCTCCTGCATGTGTATGTAGTCACTCATATTTGGTTGGCCATATCTCTTTTATTTAGATCATTTCTACATCTCTCTCTCACTATATATATATATATATATATATATATATGTGTGTGTGTGTGTGTGTGATAAAAATCGTTTTAAGGTATGTTAATGCAGATGGCCTGAATGCATGAAACCGACTTGCCATGATATAGCTGCATGGATCATCAGTTAATATTACCAGTTTTTCTTAAATATTTTGTCATATAAGTGCATGTTATATGGAAAATACAGAAAGATTTTTAAATTGCATTGTTATGCTAAGAGGAACACCTTTACTCTCTTACTTTATAACAAGAATTGCATATAAACTTAAAGTCATAGAATAATTTTCTTAGTGCATTTTTACAGTTATTTCATCAATGAACTTTGATTTATTTTTATTCTTTTCTTTGTTATATTTACTCTTCAACAAAAGTCAATGATCATCTTGAAATCCCAAAACTTTGGAAACAAAATGGGCTTTATTTAAGTAGATTGGTTCACTCAAATAAAAAAAAAAAAAGTGCGGGTGTGCGTTAAATAATTTTTGTAAATTAGCATTCTTTCAACCTTTCTTATGCTGCAACATTTGTTAGGATAAAAAAATATTGATTTCAATATTGTTTATGAGATTAATACCATGTAAAATTGATCCCAGACTTTTTACAGAGTTATTGAACTAGATGTTATTTACAAATGTCAATTTTGAACCTGTGCTTATATTATTGGTATCTGCATTTTTTTTTTCCTAATTTTCTGAATTTTTCAAACTTTTTAAAGATTTTTTGTAGAAACATTTTTTGGGGGGGGTATTTTTTTAGGACTACATACCTAAATATTGGGAATAATGATTTATTTTAAATTAATCATAAATGGATATAAATTTATTAATTTATGTAATTTTTATACTTTAAAGTGTATATATCCATTTTTATTTATTTAAAAGAAATATTTTTGTAACAAAAAAAAATGTCTGGTTTCGTACGCAAAACTGCTAAGTCAGGTAACTGTAAAAAAGTCAGAGATCAATTTTACACTGTATAGATATTATGAACAGGACTTTACTACCAAATTGATTTAAAAAAAAAAAAAAATCACTATTTTTCAATTTTGACAAATGCTGTAGCCTAAGGAAGATCTAAAGAATGTAAATCAGAAAATATTATTACCCCTAAAAATTTTCCCTATTTTTTACTAGTTGACCAGTCTACCTAAATAGTGCCATAAAATTAAATTCTAATCACAGGCAACAGATTCATAAAAAAAAAAAAAAAAACATTTCAAATGCACTTTACATTAATTTGCAGAAGAGTTTTATCACAGATGAAATCTGGGACTGGCATGAAGTGGGTGAATAAAAATGGCAAACAAAATGTAAGACAGCCAAAAAAAGCATTCAAGCAAAGACAACAAAAACAAAACTCAAGGCAGACATAAAATGTTCTGCTAAATTATTTAATAAGATTATAACTATTTACAACTCTGTTATTCAAGTTTTCGGTTTCACTGCTTGGGCACTAATTGTATATATGCCTTGTAAGTGTATGTGTATATATGTGATACTAGTCTCTCCGGTCAATATAAAAATTTGGAATTGAGTCCTGAAAAGAGAAGCATCAAAACGAACATTCCATGATTTTTAGGTGAACTTGCTCTCAGTGCTGAAGATGTTCCAACCACAATATTCTGGACAATCCATTCTATGACGTTCAGGTATACAATCTTTCAGGAAAGAGATAGGTTTCTTTTTAACGTTTTTTTTTTTTTCTGTCATAAAAAAAGACCCAAGTTTTTCCTTACACTTGAAAGAGAATAAAGAATGGATCTATTTAAACATTGTGGTAACAACACCAAAAACACAAAGAATGAATTCAGTTGTACAGTTTTGGAAATGTTGAAGATTCTTCTCAAATTTATAAACAATATAAAAAAATATATTAAATTATTTGTAACTGAATGCTTAGCTATGTAGACAAGTATCCAGGTATCATCATGGGTGGCTCTTTAAATTAGCTTCAGTTTAACTTTTCTTAAATGGTGTTTTAATCATTGTACAAGTTTTTCCTTTAACTAATTTTTGTCATTTTTGTTGTTTTGTTTTTTCAAATTTTGGACATTTATTCTCTGACCTTGCTTGAATGTCAGTTGTTATGCTGAAATATTTTCTAAAATTTTTACAGGGAGTGGTATTTATTCACTTCCACCATGAGAGTAAATATGAGACAAGGTCAAGTTGAAAGTGGAGGACCCTTACAAAAAAAAATATAGATAGAGATAAATATTATTCCAGTTCTCTTTTTCCATTGGTTTATGAGGTGGTAGGGACTGTAATGTGGGGTTCTGCTGAGCATTGAATCACCGGATCTAGAAATTCACTTCTTTTTGCTTCCCGACCTAAAGGCCATGGGTTGGAGAATATGCAAAACTCAGGCGGTGGTCAATGTTATTACAGAGGTTAAAGGGAGACAATCCCAAGAACATATGATACAAAAACCAGAAGACATACTCCCCTAAAACAATATTTAACCACATTTCTGAGCACAACAGACACCTGAGGAAGGCCGGAGAGTACACAATCAAAATGATGTGAAAAAAAAAACAAAACAAAAAAAAGAAACAACAAGGACAAGAAAATTAGTCCAATCAAAGTCACATAAAGACTAAATGTTTAGGTTAATTATATTTGATATTTTAACTAATTTTATGCAAACTCTTTGAGAAGAAAACTTGTACATATCCAATAATATTTTCAGAGGATTGTTCGATTTGTTTTTTATGGCTTATCAACCTTTAGTAGGTTATTTAAAGAGAGAAAATATTTTTAGATTCTAACAATTTTTTTGGAAAAAACTAATGATTTACTGATAAAAGTCCTACTAAGTAACCCATTTCTGGGGTGAGAAGAGGTGGATTCATAGCTATCTCAAGAGTATTTGCATGTAAGTGAATATAACAAACCAGACTGGAATTGGAACTCACTCTCCAATTCCAAGCCATTATCCATTACACCACCTGCACATCCAAGGTTACAGCACCTGGTATTCCCAAATAGTTACCCATCTAAGTACTGATCAGGCTCAACGTTGCTTAACTTTGGTGACCATACAAGAACCAGTGTTTCAAGGTCATAAGCACTTTTCAGAGGAAGTTGACATTGACTAATTGATATCCTTTAATGCTTACCATCTCAAAAATGGGACTGTGGACATTGATGGGTAATAGGTAGAAAACTATAATTTATACCAGATTTCTTAGAAACCTATAATTAATATCAAATTTTTGTTTCTATGATTAATAATGGATTTTACTGTGGGTGTTAATGAGTTAAACAAAGGGAGAAATTAGGCATTGATATAGATTAAATATTCAGAGTATTTCATTATAAAATTGGAAGGCCGAAAATATTAATTGATTAACTTTGTATAGACATTAAAAATATTGAATATTTGTTCATTTATTTAGTACATAATCATAAATATATAAATTTTATATTTAAAAATAGATTTCTATAAATAATATTTAAGAAAGCAGGACAATATATTTCTTTATCTACTTTAGGAGGTTGTATTATATATCATTGTATTCATCAAAGACAGAGATATTTATCAGATATATATATATATATATATATTATATATATATATATATATATACAGGGCGTTGCAGCAAAATCCGACACTTAACAAAAAGAAAACGAAATCAGCAATAAAAACAGAAGTTGTATATGCAGATACCCGACAGTTTGACAACTAACTAACGTTTTTCTCTCTACTCTTTTCCAGTATGGAATATGAGTGAAGAGCAGCGGTAGTAGCTTCTTTTTGCATTGGGAAGAAGCCTGCGTAAGTGATGGCCTGTTTTGGGTTCGAGGGGACCATGGTCATAGACATTTGGAGGAAGTGGAAAGTGTATGAGAACAAGGATGAGTTTACTGCCAAACAAAAGACCCACAATGTTCATTCTTCGGCCGTTAGGACTGACAAGTTTGTCACTGCCGTCAAGGAGACAGTTGACAATGATGGAAGTCAGAGCTATACCAAGATCACCGCTGACATGGGCTGTTACAAGTCAACGATCTGCCGAATGATCAAGAAGGACATTGGTTACTCCTCCTACCGCAATTCTTACTGCATGCTCATCACGAATGTCTCCAAGGAGTCGAGGAAGGTCAAGGCGGTGGCTTTGCTGAATGAGCTCAAGCATGGGTCTGCTGGGATGCTGAGGTTCTTCTCTGATGAAAAGAATTTCATCCAGGACCAGACGAGCAACAGGCAGAACCACATGTGGATCTGCAAAGAGATCGAGGAGGTTCTTGTCATGAAGCATATGAAGTTTCCCTCCTCTGTCATGGTCCTTGGAGTCATCTCCAGCAAGGGGACTGTCATGTCTCCGTTCTTTATTCAAAAAGGCCTGAGAGTCACCACTGAGATCTACCAAGAGGTTCTAAGGAGTGCGGTGAAGCCCTGGATGGACGAGATTGCCACCGGACGCCCCTACGTCTTCCAGCAGGACTCCACTCCTGCACACAAGGCCAAGATGACCCGGGTGTGGCTGCTCAACAACGTTCCTCACCACTGGTCGCCAGACTTGTAGCCACCCTCCTCACCCGACTGCAATCCCCTTGACTATTTCTTCTAGGGCATGATTGAGGCCAAGACTAACAAGCACGCTCACAACACGGTCAACTCTCTGAAGGCTGCCATTGTGGAGGTGTTTGATGCTATGGACAAGGACATGGTTGCCAAAGTCTGTGACTCATTTCATGCTTGCCTTGAGATGGTCATTGAGGCTGGCGGCAGTTAAATTGAAAAGTAATGTAGTATGTACCTCTAACTGTTGCTAAATAAACTGTCGGGTCTCTGCATATATGACTTTTGTTTTTATTGTCTATTTCATTTTCTTTTGTCAAGTGTTGGATTTTGCTGCAACACCTTATATACATATATATAGATATATAATGACAAATTGGAAAAAAGTTTTTGTGGCACATTTCATCCTAATGATGAAATGTGCCACAAAAACCTTTTCACAATTTGTTATACTATTTTCTCAGTACTGTTTCTTGATATATAAAATCATATATCATTATGTCATATCATATATATATATATATATATATATATATATATATATAGTTATGTAAATGTGTGCGGATATTGGTAAGTTAGAATTGGCAAAAAGCCGCCTCATCCCTGGTAATAACAAGCATATAGTTAGGTGACTTTGGTGGATGTCCAAAATTTTTCATGTTCATATTGACTCATATTATGAGAATATCAATTAGTAACATTGTAAATCAATATTTTTATTTTGTTTGCAAAGATGACAAGAAAAAGTTTATCAAAAACTCTTAAAATCAGGTGATGAAATTTACAGAAACTTTACATTTCTATCTACAACATATCCTAGTGGATATATTTATATGATGCAGCTTACAATTAAAGTTTCACAGAAAAGATATAGAAACTGCAAAAGGGAAAATTTCTCTTTATATAGAATATATGATTCAAATGAGAAGATAACAGAGTCCTGAATCAAATTTGATGTCCTTTGATTTAAGAAGAGTTGATCTGTGGTGACCCCAATATGTATTGGATTCACTTTAACAGATAACAATGTAAATTCAAAAAATCTACAATCCCATAAGAGGGGGGAACTCAAAGCTACTAAATGCAAAATCAGGCCTCAAAATATGCCAATGGGTGTGCTGACAAACAAGGAAGAACTTACAATATAAATGCATGAGACAAAAAGATAACAGGAAATTATATAAATACCTGACCTACAAGGAAAGAAAGAGAATCCCTCACAAGAAGATGATCAAATGTTTGAAGAAAGTACCAAAACCACATACCTTCAATTTGTCCAACATTATTTCAATGGAGTCCTGACATTAATAAACACTTTGTTTACATATGGAAATATTGTATTCTCGTCAAATGTTACTAACATATATTAAATAGCCTTATAATTGATAGGACAGGAAAAATCCTATATATTACACTTTGAATGCAATGGTGGAATAATTTTGTTTTACCTATATGAACATATATCTTATTAAACATTATATTTTATCTGTCTATATTTCTGAGATGAGGTATTGTAAGTATTTACACTATTTACATTGTTTGGACTGTTGTCCTCACCTTTATTGTCATATTCCCAACGTTTCAGCCAAAACATTGTGAATATGACCATAAAGATGAGGACAACAGCCCAAAAAACATAAATAGTGTAAATAGTTATATTTTAGTGGATACACATGTTTGATGAAATTCCCTGTGTTTTTTTTAAACAGTATGAATTACAATCTACTGGTCTGTGCAGATGAATCTTAATAAAAAGAATGAGCTCTCTGACAGGGTATAAACCTACGTCTCACTTTGTAAAGGGAACCACCATTTGATCTGGTATGCTTTAGACCACTCAGTCACAAGTCCATAAAATTCAATTACCCTTTTAACAAATATTCATCTTCCTGTTGAGATCTTGAAAGCCCATAAGGACTAACAAATACATGTATTCACTAAAATATAATACTTAAAGTGATAAGAAATAATGTCGAATCAAAAAGTAAAATCTATTAAATCCTTAGGAAATTTATAACGGTAAGAACTTTTCTGTATGTGAATTTATTTTTCTGTCCATAAATTTTGTCACACTAAAGCAAAAAAAAAAAAGTAAAATTAACAAGTGACTCTTGCTCTGATTTGAAAATCAGACTTAGAGGTAATCAGGCAAGTAATGTCAAGTTAGGCTGAGTGTACAGATACTGCATTGATCCAAGACAATATATATTTTGATCCTAGGTAGATGTGCCAACCCATATGTAAAATATCAGCTACTACACTATATATATATATATATGAACACCTTTTACATGAGAAGCATCTGCTGCATCCTGGGAATAGCGTGGCAAGATAAGGTGCCCAACACTGAGGTCCTGTCTCAAGCAGGTTTGCCCAGCATGTTCACACTGCTCAGACAGTGCAAACCCCGTTGGTTGGGCCACGTCCATCGCATGCCAGACGGTGCATCCCTAAAGACCTCTTGTATGGTGACCTGGCCACTGGATGGAGACCCGCCGGCCAGCCATAGCTGCAGTACCATGATGTAGTGAGATGCGACATGAAAGCTGTGGATATCAACAGGGTCCTGGGCAGCCATACAATCCAAATGGAGAGGAACCCTGAGCAAACACCTCAAGTCAGGAAAGGAGAAGCTGACACAAGTCGCCACAGAAAGGCGGGCCCACAGAAAGCAAAGTGACAGTTCCAACAAGCCAGAGAGAGAAAACACATGCAACATCTGCAACAGAGATTGTCACTCTCTCATTGGCCTCTACAGTCACAGACATTGATGCTCCAGTCAAGCAAACAACTAGGATGCTACCCATGGTCAACACTGACCAACAGAGGCCTACACATAGATAGATAGATAGAGAGAGAGAGAGAAGGTTATTTGAGGAAGTGTTATGTTCTACTTGATTTATATTAAAATTTCTAATAGATCGCCTTATTTGTTCATCAACAATGTAGTTAGGAAAGTCATTATTAATGAGAGTTTGTTTAATGTTTTTTAGTTTAGTGAAGAAAATAAAAGGAATTATACATAGGCTTACAGAAATTACTAATAAATCAGAATGTTAACACTGGTTAATAATTAAAAAAAAAACTGAAAGCATTATATAAAGGATCTATCCATCTTATAAACAAAATGGATAAATTTATAAATATTTCCAACTATGAATTAACTAACCATCAAAAGAAATTACTTAACCTGGGACCCAACTGTCATCTATACTGCAAATATAATAGTTTAAATAAAAAAAATTGAAATAGAGATGTTATATCAAAGTATAGAAAAACTTCAAGAGCAATTGATAACAACAGAACCAGTGTTTTGGGACCTAATCAAGGCTGAGGCTATAAAAGATAGACATAACAAATGGAAAAATTCTTCTAAACTATTAACAAAACCACTAAAAATTGCTGACAAGGAGTTGTGTAAACATCTGGATATTATTGTTAAGAAAACAGACCAGACAAACATCTTTGTAGTTTTAAACAAATCTGATCATAATACAAAGATATTAAAAAAATACTTGATGACCACACCAAATTT